GCATCTACTTGAGAGGGGATAATAATGATATCAAGGAGCTCTCCACTACCAGCTAAATCATGACAATGAGGAGGTCTCCACTACTTGATAAGTATTTTTACTTTTATACCCTTTAACTAACTGACTCTAGAAAAACCCTATATGCCTATATATTGCGGTACCTGTAAGCCTTTTGCGTGCAAGAAACACAAGTAAATATCTCTCGGTTATGCTGTAACTTTCTTTCATCTTATAATACAATCCCTCTTCTTCTTCATTCATTTGTTTCTCTCGGTAACCATGGATGAAAGGTAAGATTAGCATTTACTTTCTACAGCTCTCTCTGTTTCCCTTTTTTTTTTAAACAGCTACCACTGATCAAATAAAAATAGAGCCGAAGATAAAAAATAAATAACAGCTACCGGACAAGAAACAGAGCATGGATGAAAAAAAAAAAAAAAAAAACTAGACATTGATGACCCATAGCCAGCGCGCCCCGAGTGAGCATGAAGATCGTTTCCTACATTATGAGAGGGAATAGAAAACAGACACAATGTGGTGGCGCATCTACCTGAAGAAGGCTGGTGGCATAGCTAACGTAATTGCGGATGAGGCCACGAGAGGTGATCCGAATCTCGTTCTCGTTAATGGCGGTCTCAGGCATCGGCTTCTCGAATCTCTGGTATCGATCCATACCGTTGCACGGCTAGTAGATTTGATTACCGCAACCGCTGGTCAAGAAAGGGATCGGGAAGAGGGGGAAGAGAAGCGGGAGCCGGAGGATGGGGAAGTCGGAGCTCAGGGAATACCGAACCAGCGCGAAAACCCTATAATATATTGACGGTAATGGGAATAACTGCCAAAAACGGAATGAAATTTTGCGGCCTAACTTTTTTTTTCTTATTTTAATAGCATTTTTTATACTCCATATATATTTTTTTAATTAGATATGAAAAATTAAAAAATCTCAGAATTGTCGCCGTAAAATATGTGACGGTTAGGAACACGTCAAAATTTTGTGACAGCTAGGCAACAGTTTTAACAGGGAAAGACATAAATACCACTCACTTTCTATGTAATTATATATTTAACCTTTAAATTTTAATTTACATATATAATATCACCGTTTGGGGTGTAATTGTGTAAACGAGCCGAACATTAGCGAGCTCAGGCTCAGCTTCAGCTCGTTTTCGGCTCGTTTATATTTTGAGCTCAAAATGTGTGTTCGTGTTCAGCTCTTAGCGAGTCGAACAAGAGAGAACACGAGCCGTTCAAGAACAAAAAAATCGTTTTGACAACCATAATCATATAGTCATAAGATGTTAAGGATTGGGGC